GTGCATCATTTAAATAAGATGATTACCCATATATCCCATGTAAGTTCTGTTTGTGCATCATTTAAATAAAAGTGTAACTAGTTATTACTGTAATGGAGTATGAATATCTTGTATCTGTTGACTCGTGTAAGTGTAAATATTTATTACTGTAATCGGATATGAATGTTTCATCTCATAATTGTAACCAAATATGACAGTTGGTTCTTTTAAGGGAAACCAGATATGACTGTGAGCTCATTAGTGTGATTTTTAACTTTAAACAGCTGCGATTGTTGACTTTTTTTTTAGCTGTAACAAAATAAGCATGACAATTTTCTGTAATCAGTTATAACTGTAACCTTTTATGGAGGTTATTGCATGAATGACTGGAATCTTGTTTGACTTCTGTGAATTTAACTTAATAAAAATAAATATGGATACTGACTTTAACTCAGCACTGTGACTATTTAAATTGGGAAGTTTTTGAGCTACCAATTATGGCTATTTGTTAACATCATAATATTAATTATACCTTGCTGGTTTTTGTATTCGTTACAAGGTAGTGTGACATCTGACTTGCCATTTCATTTGACTGACTGGACTTATGACTGTTGATGTTTGGTAAATAAAGTCAAGTTATGCTGAAGCCAAACTTGAGAAAAGTTTTGTTTGATGAAAAATAATGTTTAAGGGCAGCAGTTTAAAACAATTTGAATACTCTGAATTTCTGAGTATGCGCCATCAACATTATATCCACTGAGGAAGGATGTTGCGGTTAAAAAATTACTGAAAGTTTCTCAGTGTGTAAAACAATAATGCTATAAATGCTAAGTGTAATTGTACTAAAGCCTTAAAGGATAAAAATTACCCACTGTGCAAAACCTCTAAGAGATTAAGGTATACTTATGCAGTTTAAGAACAATAATTGAATGTTACAAAACTGAAACAGCGTTGGTTATGAGATGCTAAAAACTAAAGCTGATACTGAAACTATATCACAATGGAAGACACAGTAGGAAACATTTGGATGAAATTTTGTAAAAAATACAGTCTTATGGAAGTTTAAATACTTGCAAAGTTTAAGTCTTACCACTAAAATGTATTATAATAGCAATATAATGAGAAAAAAATTAAAACTTTTAAACTAATATCAGTTAACACTCCATTAACTAGTGAATAGTCCTAACAGTTGGTATTGTACTGGTAAGTCTACATATTATTCGTAATATTGTCACTATATTTTTGTTTTGGTATTACACTATTTAAAATATGATAAAGTTTTATTTTTTCTAGTAAATATTTTGATATCCCAACTTAAGAATCTTGAACTTATTAAGCTACTTACTGTATCTTGGTTATACAATATATGCAAAAGTTGCCAAAAAAATGTTATGCAATTGCGTGTTTACCCGTGTACCTCCTTGGTTTGGAAAGGTTACGAGTAGTGATGTGATTGTAGAGATATCATGATATTTACCTAGTCTGTTCTCTTAAGAAAAACAAAAAAGAGTCTGAAATTGCCATAATTTTGAAAATACAAATTTGTGATTGATTCAGTTCCTATGATCAGCTACTTTTACAAATCTTTGCTGATGGTTGAAAGTGTACTGTGGTTAATATTTCAAAAGTGTAAGATTATTGTGGTTGAGACTGCTGCTCTTATATCTTATAAATTGGGCCTATTTTAAGTTTGATTTCAGCAGGTTTTTGAATAGTGTGTTTTTTATTTGTGGATGTCTGAGACTGAGAATAGAACAAAATGCTATTGATGAAATCTTGCAAACATCAGGAATGAAAATCTAAACTTTACTTAGGAGAGGCGAATATAGCTAAACTGAGAACATATTAGGACGGTTATTAACTGACTATGGAATCCCAGATATATTACACCTCAAAGCTTGGATAAATACCTATTATGGACTTAATGACAAAAGATGGAACGTTTTGGGGAGAACTGTAATGCAACATATATTCCTGATAACACTAAAGATTTTTGTTGAAAACCTTCCTTCTCTAAAACTGATACAGATGTCGATAGTACTGTGAAGACAAGCTAGATTAAAGAAACTGTATGACTAAAATAAAGCTGAAGGGTTTAAAAATGAAGAAAGAAGGAATAAGTTATCATCTGAAATTAAAACCACTTTGTGCAGAGTTGCCACTATATGAGCTTACAGCACAAGAGGCTAAACTGTTAATCATTGAGACAGGATGATTTCTAAGTCTCCGTGCTGCAGGTGCTAGCAGTCGATGACGTCAGACTTTGTTGTGGTGCGTGGAGGGGGCCGTCGAGGAAATGGACCTGCGTGAAACAGAAAACAACAAAACATTCCACTCGATTTAAAACACACTTGAAGACCACTAAAATTTTATGGATATGTGAAATAAGTAACTTATATGAAAAAAAAAGGAATATTAAAATCACAGAAAAAATCTCAGTAAAATATTCTATGATCACTTTATTTCAAAGTGTGTAGTAATTTAGACCAAATTTTAGTTTTTACACTGGATTGAAACTGGCCAATTTAGCCCAGTAGGATTATAATGTGTTCAGTTATTAGAATTAACAGAGCACTCTAACCTACCATTCCTTGATTTTATAATTACAGTAATTACTTTCAGTTTAAATCAGATGTAATGATTTGATCAGGTTACAGGTAAATTATACCCAATTAGAGTAATTGGAAAGTAAACCAATCACCAAATTAAAAATCATTATTAAGTGACATAATGGACGAGATTGTTATTGAAGGACTTCAAAATGTACTTTCTGGTTGACGGTCGGTATACTTCACCAGCTGAACTATTTAAAAACAAACCCCTAATCACTACAGGACTTTTCCCTATAATAAGACTTGCCCTCAATCCTTGAACACACACACACACACAAAGTCATGTGAATACTCTAGCAATTCTTAGCCACCTGGAACTCCAACTGTATATAATGAGATATGAACTTATTTCTGCTCTTTTGGAAAAAAATTCTAAAGGAAATAAGAGATTCTGTAAAATGGGAGACGAACCATGAAGCTCAACTTAAAAGGACTGAAATATGTACTACCTGAGCTACTAGGGAGCCAGTATAAACTTAATCAGTTACAGTGACATGAACTACATAACCAACATACAAAGTGATATGTTTCAAGTGTTTCTGCTTTGAAAATAACTCATCCATGTTTTCTGAGGTATACGCATAGTCAAGAAACCCCCCCCATCATCCCCACGTTATTTCTTAGAAGATCCGAATCTTTTGGATGTTCAAGGGAAATTAGTTGATATTTATGTGTGTATGTTTCAAACTTTACTTTTTGTTTACATGTATGTATGCTCAACTATTTGTAGCTCAAAAAACTATAAACTAATTATACAATAACTATAACATATGAATAATATATTAATATGCATCTGCTTCATATACCATAAAATGCTTGCATGTACAATAGAAAACAGTCTAGGTAGTACCACTTCTATGTATCCCTCTCACAAAGTGACTTTCAACTGAATAAAAAGGAGTAAAAAGAAATATCTTCAATGACAACAGTATGGTTGAATGGTGTCTATTACATAAAGTTACTAGCATAAATGATGCACAAACAGAACTTACATGGGATATATGGGTAATCATCTTATTTAAATTATGCACAAACAGAACTTACATGGAACATATGGGTAATCATCTTATTTAAATTATGCACAAACAGAACTTACATGGGATATATGGGTAATCATTGACACGAGTCAACAGATACAAGATGAGATAGTCATACCCAATTACAGTAATAACTAGTTACACTTACACGAGTCAACAGATACAAGATGAGATAGTCATACCCAGTTACAGTAATAACTAGTTACACTTACACGAGTCAACAAATACAAGATGAGATATTCATACACGATTACAGTAATAAAAGTCAACAGTGATAACTAGTTACACTTACACGAGCCAACAGATACAAGATGATATATTCATACTCGATTACAGTAATAACTAGTTATACTTACACGAAGGTAATGGCACTCTCTTAGTGATTTGGTTATCCACAGTGTTAAACAATACAAGAGATAATGGCACTGTCTTATCAATTCAGTTATCTACAGTGTTAAGTGATACTGAAGGTAATGACATTTTCTTCGTGATTTGGTTATCTATAGTGTCAAACAGTGCTGGAGATAATGCCACTCTCTTATTAGTTTGGTTACCTACAGTGTTAAACAATACTGGAGAAAATGCTGCTCTTTTGATGGAGCAGTACTTAGCACCACATTTCTTGCACCTGCACTTTAAAACATTGAAAATGAGCCTTGAGGGTGATGTTAAGGCTTAATGTAAACAATAGACCTTTTATCTCAAGGCATTAAAAAATCAAGGTTTGTGCTCACAAACACACACAGACAGACACACAAAAGTAGGGAAGTTATAATAATTCATGAGTGGGTTTATGAATAGTAAGTGGTAAGTCTAAATAGCATTCAGTATTTACATATGTCTAATATGAGAATACTAAGATATTTGAACATAGTTCTGTATGGGAAATATATCTTTGGACTCATCTCAAAAAATAAAACAAAACGATTTTTTACCTGTTTTTTTGCTGTGAAACACTAAGTGTATCAACAACAAATTGGAAAATTAAATATGTTGTTTGCAGTTGACATAATCTATCCATTAATGTAGAAGCAGTTGATAAAAGAAACAATGGCATTATATTTAGTAAGGCAGTCACCCATATGAAGCATAATGTTGCAGTAGAGCTGAACGTGTAAGTAAAGCTAGTAGTGAAAATAATAATAATACAACAATAATTTATCTATTCAACAAAAAACAAATTCTGTGAATAATGTACAACCATGAAACAATGAATGTTTGACTGACATATTATGTGAAACACAAAAAAAAACAATAATAAAACAGTAACATCAAAATGACCCACATGAACTGTAAAGTACATTTCTCACACAGTATCACTAAACAATGCAACAGCAGATGGTCTAATTAAGGCAGGTAACACATAGGTCTTTGTCAAGGCACATTCCAGTAATAAACAACTTATACTGGTTTAACAAATAATAAGAAACTCTTGAAACACTTTATGTTGTTAGTTTGCTTAGTGACATCGTTCCCAATAAATTTTGTAGTTCTGTACTTCAAATTTTGGCCCTTTTTCATGCCTTGATTTGGACAACTGAGACCTGCCATATTTCATTACATGTCACTTTGATTCTATGCAAGGGCTGGGCAGTTATTGTTTTATTTGTGAAACAGTTTCTCTTTGTTGATATAACTGGTAAAGGTATTTCCCAATTTCCTTGCTTTGCGAGTTTCGAGGTCCTGAGCAAGTAATATTATAAAACAATAATTTATCAGATTCTGGAAGCCTAGACTTACATTCACAACTAGTTGTTAATTCCTACCAATATTCAAAATGGCACAGGGATTGCACAGCTAATCAAAAATCAGTAACAGAAAGATTTAGATATTTGTATAATAGTTTGGGCACTTGTGAATAAACAAGTTGATAGTTTATTTTAGAAGTTCTAAATCATATTAACTGCAATAATTACTTCAACTAAAAAACAAGAAAAAAAATTTAAATTGTCTAATTTTAATATCATCTCCCACAGAAATGTTGAATTATTGTTCACGGAATACAAAAAATATCATTTTTTGCAAGATTTTCAAGCAAAGGGTTCTGATAGTTTTAAGTGTTATTGCATAATCAGGAAAATGAAAGCTATTACATATATAAAGGTCCTTTGTTTTTCATGGATAATGCTTTATTGAATAACAAATTGACAGTTAGAAACTTAGATTAAATTTCATTGCAGGCTAAAATAAAAATTAATATTTCTGTAAGTTTAAATGTACTGGATTTTGCAACTCTAACCAAATATGACTTAATTCATAACCAAGTATGATCATCATGCCATCGTGAAGTGTAACTGGTTATTACTGTTGACTTTTATTACTGTAATCGGGTATGAATATCTCATCTTTTATTTGTTGATTAGTATTGTTTAACACTGTAGGTAATGGAATCTATAAGAGAGTGGCATTATCTTCAGTATTGTTTAACAATATAGATAACCAAATCTATAAGAGAGTGGCATTATCTTCAGTATTGTTTAACAATATAGATAACCAAATCTATAAGAGAGTGGCATTATCTTCAGTATTGTTTAACAATATAGATAACCAAATCTATAAGAGAGTGGCATTACCTTCAGTATTGTTTAACAATATAGATAACCAAGTCCATAAGAGAGTGGCATTACCTTCAGTATTGTTTAACAATATAGATAACCAAATCTATAAGAGAGTGGCATTACCTTCAGTATTGTTTAACAATATAGATAACCAAATCTATAAGAGAGTGGCATTACCTTCAGTATTGTTTAACACTGTAGATAACCAA